TTTCACTTAGCATAATATTTTCAAAGTTCATCCATGTTGTAGCATGTATCAGTGCCTCATTACTTTTTATGGTTGACATATGGATATACCACTTTCATTTTTTCATTCATCAGTTATGGACATTTGGGTTGTTTCCATATTTTGCCTATTATGAATAATGCTGCTCTGAACATTCACGTACTTGTTTTTTGTGTGTACATATGTTTCAATTCTCTGTGTATAAACTTAGGAGTGAAATTGCTGGGTCATATGTTAACTCTGTGCTTAACTTTCTGAGGAACTTCCAGACTGTTTTCCAAAGTGGCTACACCATTTTACAATCCCACCAGCAATGAATGAGGATTTTAATTTCTCCACATACTTGCTAACACTTTTTAGCATTTGTTTTTTTGTTGTCATTGTTGGTTTTTTAGCTATGCTAGTGGATATGAATGGGTAGACATTTATTTTTCATCTTGACCCATGGCTCTTGGTGTCTTGCTGCCAGCCAGCTAACCAATCAATCAATCACTGAGTCAACACTCAAACCATTATCTATGTCCTGGACTATGTTCTCTGGAGGATACAAAGAAGGTTAACCTCCCTGACTTTCAGGATCTACTCTCTCTACACAAAACACATAGAAAGTTAACAACATAAAGCAATCTATGGTCAATACCAAAATTCTTTTTTTCCCCCACTGACATTCCATTTTATTTATTTTAAAAATAAAGTTAAGAACATCTTTATCTTCTGTCTTCCCCCCAGAGCAACTAAAACCAACAAAAACAGGGCATGGCCTGGGGGACAAGAGGGCACTAGAAATCCTAATCCTCTTCATCTTCTGCATCAGGTGCTGAGGGGTCCAGGGACACTGGGGCAAAGGCGGAGTAGAGGTGAAGGGCATGAAGGGTGTCAGGGGGCTCTGAAAATGGGCAGGGGGGTGGCTGGCCTGGGGTGGGGGCTGTGATGCCTCCTCTCCCCCCTCAGTATCTGTGTCTTCAGACTTATCCTCCTGCTCCAAGACGGTCCCTGACAGCTTCCTGTCCTTGCCTTTGCTTCCCATCCCACTGTTCCTCCAGCTGCTGCTGCCTGGCTTCTGGCCTCTGCAGACACCCTTGTCCCCATCCATGTGATTTGTCTTCCCCATCCCCCTGCGTTTCAGGCACAGATGTCACCAGGTCCTTCAAGAAGTCAAACCTGCTCCAGCTCCAGGCAGTGCTTGAGGTGGGATGTGGTCATGGTCTTGGAGTTTCGGGGCTGGGTCACCTGGCAGGACTTCTTCAACATGACTCCAGGAAGAGCTTGAGCACCCAGAAGATGATCACAGGCCCAGCTACCACCACCTTACCAATCTCTTTGTCCGTCTGCATGATCTTCTTAATCCGCATTGCATTTCTTCTTCTTGCTCAGCATCTCGGGGCCTCTCTGCAATACCATAATTCTTAATGGGGTATATCTGGAGTCCTGCAGGCTCCAGCCTCTGTCTATCTCTCCAATTTTGGCTCTCTCCACTCAGCTGCCTCAGTTCCAAATCTGCCTTTGCTACTTACTAGCTTTGTGACCTTGGGCAAAAAACTTTAGCTCTCTGGATATGACTGTACTAGAACCTAGCTTATAAAGTATTAGAGGATTATTTTTTTATTTTATTTTTTATTTATTTATTTTTTTGTTCTGACCGGTAAGGGGATCGCAACCCTCGGCATGGTGTTGTGTAAACCATGCTCAGCCAGCAAGCGCACCAGCCATCCCTATATAGGTTTGCCATCCCTATATAGGATCCGAACCCGCAGCCTTGGCGCTACCAGCACTGCACTCTCCCAAGTGAGCCACGGGGCCGGCCCTAAAGTATTAGAGGATTAAATGAAGTAAGTCCTTTATGTCATCTAGAACTTGTTTAGCATACTCCAAATGCTAATCCTGTTATCACAGTTATAAATTAAAGAATTACTTATGTACATTAAAAAGTTTGTCTCATCAGTGCTGTATCCTCAGCTCCTAGCACAGTACTTACCATATAGTAGGAATTTAAGGGATATTTGTGAATGAATGAATGAAGGCTACGTGTGTGCTATAGGGTATCAGAGGGAGGAGAGGCATTATAGAGAAGAGATGGCCATCTCTAAGTATTTGGTAGTGACAGCTTGGAGTGCTGTGTGGAGAAGATGATTTTGAAGTTGCTTCTGGGTTCAGAGGTAGAGTGGACTGTGATTGATCAATCATGTCTGCCATGGGCACGGGAAGAAACAAAACAAAACACTGTAGCACAAGCACTAAGGGTTTGCCATCCCTGCTGTAGAAAAGGCTCACTGTGTGCTAGACATGATTCAGAATTGTGAAATCACCACGATTTCCCTCCTCTCCACTGCCCACCACCCCCAATTTTCCTCTAGGTACTCACAGTCCTATGTGGCATTGCGCAGATCCTCTGGAGCACTATGTCTCTTTATTTGGGCTGGTCTCTGCACCCCATTTCCATCAGCATGGCAAGTCAGTTGTCTTACTCCTGACAGATACAGCGACCCAAATGAACCAATCTACTAATTACCCTAAAATGGTAGGACTTGGTCGCTGATTGTATTTTCTATGCCAGAGACATTGCATTTACATTGAGGTGGGGATTGGGAAGTACTTTGAGTGTGTGTGTGGTGTATCGGGGTTGGCTGATGAATCAAATGCCACAGGGGCCAAGGAGGTGGTGCGAGGTTGGCCGGGGTGAGGGCAAATGCAGACCCCATGCCTGTCACACTGGAAGGGGAGTCCAGTGCTGCCACAACCTCCAATTTTTTTCTTTTTTACTGACCGGTAACGGGATCGCAACCCTCGGTGTTGTGCCCACACCGTGCTCAGCCAGTGAGCGGGAACCGGTCTCCACATGGGATCCGAACCCTCGGCGGGAGCGCCGCTGCGCTCCCAAGCGGTCGCACTATCCAGTGCGCCACCCGGCCGGCCCACAACCTCCAATTTTTCAGAGAGACTCGAAAAATCTGGATTTTTTCATGAAATCTCCCAAGCTTAAAATGTTGCAACTAAATAAAATGTTAAGAAAGTAAAGTGCTGGCCGAAGAAAATGGTGTGCTGTATTTGGTCCATTAGCTACCTCTGCATCGGCCCTCACCGCCTTTCCAATCCCCCTATCTGCAATGGCCTGCTCCTCCAGAGTCCAGCCCCAAGTGACTTCTTCATGACGCCACCCCAACCCCCTCAGTGGGAAAGTTTTCTTCTTCTAGACCACTCTGGGCCCCTCATGGTAATTACCATCAGTGAAATCTATTTGTGTGTCTGTGTCGGTTTTTTTGGGCGGCTGGCTGGTACAGGGATCGAACCCTGGACCTTGGTGTTATCAGTACTGCACTCTAACCACCCGAGCTAACCGGCCTGCCCAAGAGTAAATTCTGAATTCGTAAAATCAGGCGGGCTGCTCTGGGAGCTGCAGCTGCGCCCCTCTCAGCCCTGCCCCTGGGGCGGCCAGGCACGGGGCAAAGGACCAAACCGGGTAGGGCGGTGAGAACTGGGGCTGTGGGAGCCAGCCTCGTCCTTCGCCCTCGCTTGGCCCTGCTTGAAATGCACGAGGTGGAACTCAGCCTTCGCGCTGACTTTCTGCCTCGGAGACGTGCGCGCGTTCCCGACGCCTCCCCTCCGGACTAAGTCGCCGGAGCTGTGTCCTTTCCGGGCTTTGCCGCTCACCGCCGCTCACCGCCGCTCACCGCCGCTCACCGCCGCTCACCGCCGCTCACCGCCGCTCACCGCCGCTCACCGCCGCTCACCGCCGCTCACCGCCGCTCACCGCCGCTCACCGCCGCTCACCGCCGCTCACCGCCGCTCACCGCCGCTCACCGCCGCTCACCGCCGCTCACCGCCGCTCACCGCCGCTCACCGCCGCTCACCGCCGCTCACCGCCGCTCACCGCCGCTCACCGCCGCTCACCGCCGCTCACCGCCGCTCACCGCCGCTCACCGCCGCTCACCGCCGCTCACCGCCGCTCACCGCCGCTCACCGCCGCTCACCGCCGCTCACCGCCGCTCACCGCCGCTCACCGCCGCTCACCGCCGCTCACCGCCGCTCACCGCCGCTCACCGCCGCTCACCGCCGCTCACCGCCGCTCACCGCCGCTCACCGCCGCTCACCGCCGCTCACCGCCGCTCACCGCCGCTCACCGCCGCTCACCGCCGCTCACCGCCGCTCACCGCCGCTCACCGCCGCTCACCGCCGCTCACCGCCGCTCACCGCCGCTCACCGCCGCTCACCGCCGCTCACCGCCGCTCACCGCCGCTCACCGCCGCTCACCGCCGCTCACCGCCGCTCACCGCCGCTCACCGCCGCTCACCGCCGCTCACCGCCGCTCACCGCCGCTCACCGCCGCTCACCGCCGCTCACCGCCGCTCACCGCCGCTCACCGCCGCTCACCGCCGCTCACCGCCGCTCACCGCCGCTCACCGCCGCTCACCGCCGCTCACCGCCGCTCACCGCCGCTCACTCCTCCTCGTCGCGAACTCTCGATGACCTTGGCCAAGTCCCTTCAGTCCCCTGAGCCGGCCCCTTCGTCTGTAAAAGGCGCATCTTAAGCCCTGCCTCCTAGATAGGCCGTTTAGGGGTTCAGTGGCGGGAACCCCCCGAGGGGTCCCTGGAGTAGCGGGCGGTTTGCCAGGGACGCCTCCCCCTAGGGAGAGGAAGAAAGGGCTTCTTAAGGTTTCCTTTTGTCACAGGCTATGCGGCGGGGAGCTCTCATTTTTATATTTTAAGAACTCCAGACTGTTATGAAGTAGTCGCAGAACTTTTGTTTTAACATAAAACGGGCGACTTGAAGCCAGCGGAGCCCTTGCTGTGCGTGTGGTTAGCTTCTTTGTGGCCCGCGTGGCCCTGCTCTTACAGGGGTGTCACGCTCCAGCTGCGGACACGGCTCTGTTCACATTTTCTTTAGAGAATGGGGTGAAGCAGTAGAGACCCTGAGCTTTTGAAGAATTCAATTTGTTTTTCCTGTGTTTGCCGAAACCCTTACCACCCACGTAGGAAATTGTGGTGCTGGCCGAGCAAGTTCGGTGTCTGGCCGTGGGAGGTCTTTGTGAACCTTGGAGTCAGCTTTCCAGTTACCGAATTTTGAGAGAGTGAGTATGGAGGAACTCATGGCACTCTAGCCTTTTTTGGTGGTGGTGTGGAGTTTCAGGAACTTTCCCACGGGCAAAGGTGTGCTGTATAGTGGTACTCAATATGAGTGATGGTAGGTCACAAACGTAAACGTATTAGACGGTCTAGGTTCGGAGAAATTTGGGATATTTGAATTGACTTAAACTGAAACTTTTTCCCGCAGGTGACTAGCATGCAGATACCCATGCTCTAATTTGCTGCCCCTCTACCAACATGGCCCACCGGGGTGGGGAGAGGGACTTCCAGACCTCAGCTCGGCGCATGGGCACGTCCCTGCTCTTCCAGCTTTCAGTGCACGAACGGGAGCTGGACCTGGTTTTTCTGGATCATAGCTATGCCAAGCCATGGAGTGCTCACCCAGATGCCAGTAGTGCCCGCCCCACCCGCATGCTCTTTGTTACTCCCCGGCGGCAACATGAAAGTACCATGTGAGTTTAATCTTCTCTCCTGAGGGCTGCCACTGCCCTAACTGGTGGGGATTAGAGAGGATTTTCTTGGGGATGATTGGGGAGATTGTATGGGAACTTGGATGTTTAATTCAGGCATTTCTGTTAAGCAGCATAAGGATATCAGACCCTAAATATGGGTATCTGCATAGGAGACATCTCCTAATGCGTTAGGAAAATAGGATGTGTAAAGGAAAGCAGACAACCTCTTCCACTAGATGATAGGACTTCTGCAGAGAGAGGAAATTGAAAAGGATTTTTTTTTTTTTGTCTTTTTTCGTGACCGACAACGGGATCGCAACCCTCGGTGTCGCGCCCATACCGCGAACGGCAACAGGATCGCAATCCTCGGTGTCGCGCCCACACTGCGCTCAACCAGTGAGCGGACCAGTCTCTATATGGGATCCGAACCCTCGGTGGGAGCGCCGCCGCGCTCTACCGAGTGCGCCACCGGGCTGGCCCGAAAAGGATTTTTTAACTGGTGAAGAAAAGAACTGAAAAGTTGATTTTAAAAAATTGCCACACAGGATAAGACTCCTTGTCACTTTAGTCTAGTGTTCCAGTTTGCTTGCCAGTGGCAACAATGGTCTTTTTATGGTAATGCATTTTGATTTTCCTGGCTTCACACATAAAGGTTAGGAGCTATTTCCCAAGACATTGCTTTCTCTCTTAGTTTGTTACAGAACTGCCACCTGTCGGTTAATCTAAACCCTTCTTAGGTCTAATTTTATTTTCAGCCAGCCTACATAATAGGGTAAGAAAGTTTCATAAATTTACTACCTGATATGTGGTACAGTTACATTTGGCCTTAATAAACCTGTTTGACAATTCTCTTGAACTTTAAGGCATTTTAATTTCTTGCATTTCAAGATTTCTTGATATGTTCTATTCTGATCATCAAATCATGCCCTTAGGGCCAGCCCATGGCTCACTCAGGAGAGTGCCGTGCTGATAACACCAGGGCCATGGGTTCGGCTCCTATATAGGGATGGCCGGTCGCTCACTGGCTGAGCGTGGTGCTGACAACACCAAGCCAAGGGTTAAGATCCCCTTACCGGTCATCTTTTATTTTTTTTAAAAAAAGAAAAAAATCATGCTCTTAATAATTTTATAAAGTTTTTGAGAAGAGTTTTTGCTTGTTTATTTTTAATCTGACCAAACGTTTAATTTTCCCTCAAGCACAGATTTTAGTTTTGTTGGGGGATAGAGATCTTGTATTTTGCCTCTTTATATCCCCCTATGGAGCCTTAATGAGTTAGAGATACCATGATATGTGTGTTTTAAACACAGGCAGAATAGTAGTTTTTATTTTATTTCCCATTTTCTTGGCATTTTTATTGTACAGAACACAGGATCTGTGACTTTGGGGAATACTCTAGCAAAATTCTGTTGCCTTTGGCCTAGCACATAACTGAAAGACTCCTTTATTTGTTTATATAGTAAGGAGATCTTAACCCTTGTCTTGGTGTTGTCAGCACCACGCTCTCCCAAGTGAGCCAGCTGGCCATCCCTATATAGGGATCTGAACCCGTGGCCTTGGTGTTATCGGCACCGCACTCTCCTAAGTGGCCGGCCCCAGAAAGATTCCTTTAAATAGAGTTTGAGATCTTTTCCTCTTGCTGACATTGAAGCTCCTGTGTCTGTTATCTCCTTATGTTTTCCTAAAGCAAGAATCTGTGGACTTGGCTGTTTCAGTACTTAAGCAATTATTGCCGCTTATTAGTCCTGTCTCCTTATATAGGCCCTGAAAATGGAAATTTGGCATGTTCTAGGAACTCTTTTAGGTCAATGTGGCTGGAATATAGTGGCAGTAGGGTTATAAGTGGGAGGTAGAGAGAAGTTGGCAGAGGCTACATCATGTAGAAATTTGATTCTAAGAGTGTTAAGAAGTCACTGAGGAATTTAAGCTTGAGATCCAATTTATAGTTTTAAAAGACCACTTTGGATTTTTGTTGAATAGATTATAATGCAGGAGTGGAAGTTAGAAGACCAGCTAGGAGGCCATTGCAGTAGTCCAAGATGGGCCAGAAATCCTGATGGCTTGGATAGGGGTGGGAATGGTACAAATGGAGAAAAATGGATGGCATTGAGATATATTTCATAGGTACAGCCAACAGGACCTGCTGTGGTGAATTGGAAAGAGGGGCTAGGGTTAAGAGGAAAGATAAAATTAAGATGACTCTTAAATTTATGGCTTGAGCAGCTGGGGAAGACTGAGGAAATATAGCTTTGGGATGGTAAAATCAAAAGATTTATTTATTTATTTATTTTTCTTTTCTTTTCTTTTTTTTTTTGTCTTTTTCCGTGTCCGGCAACGGATAGCAACCCTCAGTGTCGCCCCCGGACCGGGACCGGCAACGGGATCGCAACCCTCGGTGTTGCTCCCGAGCCTCGCTCAGCCAGTGAGCGGGAACCGGTCTGTATGTGGGATCCGAACCCTCGGCGGGAGCGCCACCGCAGTGCGCCACCAGGCCGGCCCTAAAGATTTATTTTAAGCATACATGTCCAAGTGGCTAGCCCAGTGTCTGGTCTAGAGAAGATAATCAGCTCTTTCACCCACTTTCAAATCTAACTGTACATTATTTCACTTCATTTCATAATGATATAGTTGTTCCAGTCAAAGGGAATAGATGCAATAAGATCATTGAGGTCAAAAAAGTTAACATGATGTTTGGTAAACATCCATTAGACCAGTTTGATTGGCATAGTGTTTTGGGTGACAGTTAATGTATGGCACTAGGATTTCATTAACATCATTTGAAAATATGAAAGATTTTCAGATGTCCGTTTATATTTGTTTCTGTTCCCAGGCTCTGTGAGTTAACAAAGTGAGTTAAATAGCTAAGGTATTTGCATTCCAGGTGATCTGTCTTGGATAGTCACAGGCTTTTACAAGCATATAATTAACTATCAGTTGATTGCTAATGGAAGGGAGTTTGTATGAATAATTTTAAACTCTTGACCAGCACTGTCCAATAGAGCTCTACAATAATAGAAATATTCTGTACCTGTCATGTCCAGTGTGATAGCTGGTATCCCCATATATCTATTGAGCACTTGAAATGTGGCTAGTGTGACTGAGGAACTGAATTTTTAAATTCTATTTAGTTTTATTAATTTAAATTTAAGTGGGTACCATGTGGTTTAGTTTATAGCTATTGTATTGGACACTAGGCCATCTACTGTTTGCTTATGGAATGTATTTGTCTTTTTAAGAAAATATTTGCGGGCCGGCCCTGTGGCTCACTTGGGAGAGTGTGGTGCTGGCACTGAGGCCACGAGTTTGGATCCTATATAGGGATGGCCAGTGTGCTCACTGGCTGAGCGTGGCGTGGACCACACCATGCCAAGCGTTGTGATCCCCTTACCGGTCAAAAAAAAAAAAAAAAAAAAAAAAAAAAATATATATATATATATATATATATATTTGCTTGTCATTTTTTGTATAGACTTATTTAAAAATGACTTTATGTTCCTCCAGCATATACCAGTGTGTCAGAGAGGGCAGAGATCTAGACAAGTGTGGGAAAGATGACTTCAAATCAAAAATTTCTTGTGGATATAATGTGCTTATGCATAATTTAAAGCTGACTATATTACAGAGACATTTTTTGGCAACCAGATGATCATTAAACACCTGTGTTGTGTGAAGTACGTGTGGCCTGGTCCTATTTCCTCACCTGTTTACAGTGAATCAGACGTCCCAATAGATGTGGAGACGGTCACTTCAACTCCTGTGCCACTCTATGATAATCAGAAGGCGCGCAGCGTGATGAACGAGTGTGAACGTCATGTCATCTTTGCCAGGACTGATGCAGATGCCCCTCCCCCACCAGAGGACTGGGAGGAGCATGTTAACAGGTAGGCCACTCCTCAGGAGGATGGGTTACTGCAGGATTAATGGTCACTGTTCTGTAATTATTTTATATCATTGGCTTCTTTGAAACATGTTTATTAGGAGCTTATTTCAGCTGCACAAGTCAGAATTGTCTCCTAACTCTCACATTATAACTCTCAGCTCACAATGCTGTGAACTCCTTGAAAGCAGGGCTTGTATCTCAGCCATCTTTTCATCCCTGACACTAGGACACTGCCTGGCACATAATTGGCATATAATAAATGTTTGTTGAATAAATAAACAAATTTGATAGGTATGGCTAGCTCTGTAGCTCATATAGTACAAGTTTATAGCACAAGTAAGGGTCAGCCATCTACAAAAAAATTAAATGTACATTTGTAAGATAGTGTGTTTATATTGTCTATAACTAGGGTAGAGAAAATGTTTTGGAGTCTCATGAAAAGCTAACAGATGTTTGAGAGGCTTCTAAAATAGATTTGCAATCTTTGCTTTTGAGGGCACACGCTTAAGCCTGTTTTCATGAGTTTGCTGGCTAGGCTTCTTATTGCCCCTAGGGGACTCAGCACTCTCCCGGTCATTTGTTCCTTCATTTGGTAAACATTTATTTATCTTATGTAACAGCTTTATGGAGATATTACTTATATACCATACAATTCACCTATTTAATGTGTGCAGTTGTAATTTTTAGTATATTCAGAGTTGTGTACCCATCACCATAATCAATTTGATGAACATTTTTGTCACCCTCAAAAGAAGCCCTGTACCTATTAACAGTCACTCCTATTTCCTCCCAGTCCCTCCAGTCTGTGGGAATGACCAATGTACTTTCTGTCTCTGTAGATTTGTGTATTCTGGACATTTTGTGTAAAGATAATCATGAGTATGTGATCTTTTGTGACTGGCTTCTTTTGCTGAGCATAATATTTTCAAGGTTCATCCATGCTGTAGCATGTATCAGTACTTCATTCCTTTTTATTGCCAAATGATATTCCATTGTATGAATATCTCACATTTTATTTATCCAGTAATCAGTTGATGGCCACTTAGGTGGTTTCTTTTTTTTTTTTTGGCTATTGTGAATAATGCTGCTATGAACATTTGTGTACGAGATGATGTCTGCATCTGTGTTTTTAATTCTGTTGGATATATATCTAGAATTGGAATTGCTGGATCATGTGGTAACTCTGTGTTTAACTTTTGAAGAATTGCCAGACTGTTTTCCAAAGCTGCTGCACCGTTTTACATTCCTACCAGCAGTGTATGAGAGTTCTAATTTCTTAACATCCTTGAGAACACTTATTCTTTGTCTTTTCTTATTTTTTATTATAGTCATTCTACTGTGGTGAAGTAGTATCTCATTGTGGTTTTAATTTGCACTTTCTGATGGCTATCTATATGTATCTATCCACTTCTCTACTGTATGTAAGGGAATGTTATTCCTTACATCAGGAGTTGGTAGGTGGTGAACTTGCCATACTGTTGGAGAATGCTTACAATAATGAAAGATAGCGAGATAGGAAGAGGGGTAGAAAAGTTTGAGGTGATTGGCATGATTTATGAGGCTGGTTGGAAATTGGGAATGAGATTGAGCAGTTACGTTTGTGTGATTAAGACAGTAGCTGTTGAAGGAGGAGTAGTTCTGCACCTTGGTTGAAGAGCTTGTGAAGAAGTTGGTTGAGGTCTTGAATTGGAGTTAATGTGGTGCCCTAAGAAGGAGAAATACTCTTCAGAGCTTCAGATAAAGAGGAAAACTGCTGTGAGTGAAGATAAACTACTAGAATATTGTCAGTCAGTGAATTCAGCAAAGGGTTTCTCACCATTGTTACAGTTAATAATAATAAAAAAATAATAACAGTGATAGTAACAAAAAAAATATCATTCGTTGAGTACTTTCTAGGTTCCAGACATTGGGCCAAATGCTTCATGAATATTCTCTCTTTTAACTCTCCCAATATGTCTTGGAGATAAATCCCTTCTTCATCTCTGTTTTACAAGATGAATAAACTGAGCTCAGAGAATTTAAGAAACCTTAGGAGGTAATGGAGCAGGGATTTGTTCAAACCAAGCAGTGTGATTCCAGAGCTCAGAGTTCTCGACTACCATACTCTCTGGATTAAGGTCAGTAAAAAGACAGTAAGACTAGTTAGTTGTGGCTGAACAAGGTGGCCTCACATGGTTATATGTCCCTTTATGGCAGAACGTGCTGCCTTAATTCTCAATTTGCAGTTTCAGAAAGAGCATGGGAGAACTGTGATTTATTTATTTATTTTTTTGGTGGCTTGCTGGTTTGGAGATCTGAACCCTTGACCATGGTGTTATCAATACTGTGCTCTAACCAATGGAGCTAACTGGCCAGCATGATATTTTTATAAGCTTACCCATGGTTATGAGTAAGAGGTTTCTGGAGACTGTTCATGCTTATCGAAGTCATTAGAGGCTTAATAATTCATACGAATACCAGTTTCTTAATTTATATGGAGAGAGATAACTGCAAAGCAGAAGAGACACCGGGGTGGCCTGGCCAGAGCTTCCATTCCTGGTAGAAAGGTCTGGGAAGCCATTCTAATCCAGAAGTAGATAGGTAAGTGGAGAGTCTGTGCAGGAGGCACCGTCCTTCAGCAGGATAGCTGGACGCACTCATCTTTGCTCTAGGCAAGATGTGTCCCTAGAGTAGACCAGGGCACCCCTTCACCTGCCCAGTCCTGCAGAGAAATACTGACAGATTCTTATTTTTGGTTTATCTTTGTCCAGTGCCCGTGTGGACCTTCATCCTTCTGTTATCACATAGATTGATAGGATTCATTAGAGTTGTTTATCTTAGATTATTTGTTTTTTTAGTGTCCAGTGAGATTTTGGAGATGTCCTTCTCTCATTAGCAACAGGCTAACAAACCATATGTTTAGGTATATCACCTCTGCACACAGCTAATTTCATTGTTTGATGATATTAACTTCAGTTTCAGAGGTCACCATTTTAGGACCCTGTCCCTGAATCTGTAGCCTGTTTGGAGTTGCAGTTCCCTCTACTCTGATTATAATCATCTTGTTGCCATTCTTTCCCTTGACATGATTGTTAAATTGCTGCTTCCTTTCTTCCTGTGTAAAGTCATATAAAATTACAGTTTCTCATATCAAGAGATCCATGGATTATAGGACAGCTCCCTAGAATTCTGAATTTTTTCCCCAGAGAGCTTACTGATTGTTCTTTATGGAGTCAGAAACTTAATTTCCTTGTTAGGGTTCCTTTCCTCCTCTTGAGTTATTTCAGAAGAAAATGTGTTCAGATAACCTGTGTGTATAGAAAATGAAGACCTACCCCCTCCCCCCCCCCCCCCCTTTATGGAGTCAGAAACTTAATTTCCTTGTTAGGGTTCCTTTCCTCCTCTTGAGTTATTTCAGAAGAAAATGTGTTCAGATAACCTGTGTGTATAGAAAATGAAGACCTACCCCCCCCCCCCCCCCCGGCTTTCTCTACTAATGGCTGATATTTTATAAAATGGTTTAAATCTCTCTCTGCTTGATTTAATTGTCTAGATCAGGAACTGTCAAACATGACGCATGGGCCAAATCTGGTCCATTGCTTGCTTTTGTATGCCCATTAGGTAAGACTGGATTTTACATTTTTAAGTGGTTACAAAAAAATCAAAAGAACTATAATACAAGGAGTCTTCAAAAAGTTCATAGAAAGATTCATATTATCTTTTAATTCTATTTTTCTATGAAAATTTTTTGTTGTTTTTGGGGTTTTTTTTTTTTGTGGTTGGGCAGTACAGGGATTTAAACTCTTGACCTTGGTGTTATCAGCACCACACTATACCAGTGTGCTAGCCAGCCAGCCCTACATGAACTTTTTGAGGTATCCTTGTATTTGAATAAAATTCAAATTTCAGGGTCCATTAATAAAGTTTTATTGGAATACATTCATGCCCATTCATGAGGTATTATCCATGGCTGCTTTTGCACTACAGCCTCAGAGTTGAATAGTTGTGGCTGAAACCATATGGCCTGCAAACCCTAAAATATTTACTATCCAGCCCCTTATAGAAGTTTTCTGACTGGGTCTGGATCATGTTCTTGTGTTTTTGAGCCATAGTCATGCAACTTGGAGGACCTTTGAAATGATTTCTATTTGCTGGCATAGTAATGTCCTGAAGATGTTGGACCAGCTTTTTTTTTTCTCTCCTGATGTTTGTCAGATGCCAAGTTTTCACTCGATACACAGCTTTTGGAAGACATTTAACAAAATACTCCTGACACATAATACTTCTCAGTATTGCTCAAATGTATTATAGGACATTTCCAACATTTTAGTGAAAAAATGTAGTGTCATAAAGCAGGCTGTCTTGTCTTAGATATCAGAACTTCTGAATTCCCGCCAAAAAAAAAACCCCCATTTTCCTTTTCTGAACTTTCTCTAATTATATATCTTAATATTGTATGTATCTGTGTTTAAATCTTAGGTTGGATGTTTGAAATTTTATGTCCAATATCTTTATTTTCCCTCACTCCCTTCCCCCCACCCACTTTCCCCTTCCTTCATTCCTTCCTTTCTCCTAGTGTTTAGGCAAAAATCTGAAAAAAGTGTGACCTATTGAGTTCTTCTGATGTTGTTTCTTCCTGTTTGACTTCTGGTTAAAAAAAATCCTTTAGACATTTTAATGTTGAATCAGTCTCCCTTTAAACAGTATCAGGAAAATGATTGCCTTTGAAAATATCAGATTTTTTTAGTAACAGTGTGATATTTTGGCTACTTTGAATAGGATGAGCCAGAGGTCAGCATATTATTCCAATTCAGTCAGTGCATGGAAAACAAACGATTATCTGATCTCATCTAAGAAATGAGGAAAAGGCATTTTTGAACTCATGAAAATTGAATAGGTTTAGGTGGAGGGGAGCCAGTTGACTCACCACAGTTCCCATCAGCTATTTGACTGTTTAGACTTGTATTTAAAATTGTCTCCTGTTTTTAAAATTTTCCTTAATTATATCTTTTGCATGCTCTT